CCCCCGCCCCTCAGTATCTGCGAGCACAAAGTACGTGATGGTATTCTGAGTTTATTATGCCACTGGTATCAGTGGTTTTGGTGGCAGCCAAGTTTCCGGAAGGATTGGGGAGAAACAATGCACGCCGTACATGGCGGAGTTTAATATCGGGGCGAGGTATAATTGAATTCGAATTAAATCGAACCGGAGTTTTGTATTACTTCGGGAATTCCGGTCTTCATGGAGGAATTTAATAAAGATGGACAGGCGAAGTAAATTGAAGCGTTTTGTATTGTTTTTTTCTGGAGATGAATGCGCGGAGAGAAATTTTTGACAAAAATTATTCTACACGGAGAGAAATTTTTGATAAAAATTATCCTACCGTTCTAGAATTTTCGTTATCTAGATAAAAATTACTGGACTGGAAGGGTAGAATTTATTATGCGTCAGGATAAAATTTCCTAATGTAGAATAAAATTTGATCATCATATGTTAATTTTTACTAAATTTCGGACAGATGAATTATTTTTTCCCATGTTAAGGGGAACCGCTGTGTTTATATGAACTTTTACAATTGTCCTTTGTCCTGCAATTACTATTTTTCATTTATGAAACTACTTTATTGACTCAACAATGCAATGATCGAGTCGATAAAGTAGTTTCATAGATGAAAATTAATAATTGTAAGAGAAAACGCAATGTTAAAAGTTCATATAACGACGGGGGTTCCCTTTCCCCTCAAATGAAATTGCCCATGACTCGACGTTGCCGGAAACTCTCTAAACGCGCGCGGGCACTGTAGAGTGGATTCGGCAACGCTTAAGCCTAAATAGCACGGCGGGGAATCCCCGCGGAAGTGATCAAAGTCGCGGTAAAAACGAATGTCTGAATTTCAAACATGAATTAAGATGTTTAGTCACCTGTTCCTCTGAAGTTCAGACAAATTTTCATTACATTCAGACGTTTTTTAGTGTCTGAAAAATGTCGACAAAAGGTGTGTGAAATTCAAACATTCGTTTCTGCTGTGCACTAGCATAATCTCCAAATAAAATATCTCCGGAAAGATAAATTAACAATTTTTACGAATGAAATTTCAACTTCCCAAGCCACAAAACAAACCCCGAGGAGAAAATGGATTTCATAATTTATTCACAACAGAATTAAGTAATTCCCCCATTGAATATAATTTTTACTTATCAACGAGCCAAGAGTTATTGACCTACCGCAAACTCAATGCCCCAGCTCACCTATATGGGAACACAGCCCAAGATAATAGCAGGTGCAGTACAGAAAACAAATGAATCATTCGAAGGAAGTGGGCGATGGAAACCGGAAATCCAGAGACGACAGTGAACGAAAACCCAACACAAACACAAAATCTCTATCTCCATAACGTTTCATCGTATTTGATAATTAACTCCTTCCAGATGCCATTACTCGTGGAATATTTACGGGCGACGTGACGCGAGCTCCGACGTACAGTTTTCGTTGTACTTATTTTCATTTAGCGAGTCGAGTGAGGATGCCCCACCGAGATTTCCGAGATAAATTGAATTCATTTGTTAGCAGACACTCCCGCCCATCGACGATAGCCTCACGCACGCTGACTCTTCCTTCCGTTTGGCCGTCACCCGCCTATTTACGTGAGAATATCGAACGAGTGGATTTCATTTTTCCTCGTTTTCGCGGAATTCTTCGTCGGCTCTAGGATGTAAAACGCCATTGAGGGGTGAATGTATTCTGCACTGTGTGAAAGTTGCTGTGTGTTACTTACGACCTTATTATTTATATCAACGATTTATGGGGATTTGTAATCACGGTAAATAGCGTTGATTATTTTTTAGGTTCGCCAGAGATTTTTAAACACACGGAGATCATTAGTTCGTGAATTTCGCCAAGTAGTTGTCGGAAAAATGATTTAATAACTAATTAATTGAAATTCAGAAACGATTTTTCACGTTCATTCAATCAATTTTCACTACCAAACTAGATGCTGAGGGCGTATGTGCATTTGGAAGAATCCCGGAATTATTTATATCGTGACGATCGATCAATTCAGTAGCGAAATGGTACAACGGTTTACACACAGAAAAACCTAAACGTAAATTACGTTTAAGAAGGCGTCTTTCACGCTTGAAGTTGAAGCGTAAATTACGCTCAAAATCGTCGTAAATTACGATGTTTTTTCGTATTTTTGGTAAACGTAATTTACGTTTTGATGAACCTAAAAGACGCTTTGTTTAGGCGTAATTTACGTTTTTACTTTGACTGTGGAATACCCTTTTTAAAGCCTAAATTACGATTTTCATGACGGAAAAAAGCCACCAGACATCCTATTGACGTTAAGTGTAAATGACGTTTATCAAAGCGTAATTTACGTTTTTCTGATTGATTGATTGATTGATTAATTGATTATTTATTAACTATACATTATGTTGTACAAAATAATTATGACTAAAGTCACAATAGCAAGAAACAAGCAAATAGTCGGAGAATAAAGCAAAAAAATATCTGTAAATAGCAAACAGCAGTATAAGAAGGACAAAAAAAAAAAAGACAAAAGTGAAAACCATGAATGGTGAACACCACTAGTAGTCTGTGTGTTTGATCGTACATATACGATCCACTGTCACATGTATTAGTATATTTCGTAACGAGTGCAAAAAAGTGTTTTTTGGCGAGTGGGAGGTTTATAATCCCAAGAGCTAAAAAACATTTTTTCACGAGTTACGAACAATATTTTTCATCACAATGAGGCGGAAATTCGTCCGGAGTTCACTTTTCGTCACAGCGTGATGAAAAGAAACATTTCGTATGGAGTTGCGACATTTCTCTACTTTTTTCTCTGAAACATTTAGACATCTCTCGTATGAAAACAAAAATTTACGTGAAAATTTATTCATAGAAATAATTCGTACAGAAATACCCGAATATCATATACGGAAATCCTGCAGAATTTCTATACGCAATCCGCATAGAAAATTTCTATACGATTTTTTCATACGTGAAGTCATTGAAATCCGATCGTAAATCTAAAAGAA